GAAAATAAAATTAGACTGCAGGCTGCTGATTTCTTTGTCTCAGAAGGAGAGTTAACTGCTTACAGTACTTGGTAAATGTAACAGCCTTAAATGTACTTTGATTGGCTTACAGGCATAAATCTTCTCTTGACCAAAGGTGTTTGGATTTAAAAGTGCTAGCAGGCAAATTGCTTTGTGTAGCAGAACTAATGTCAAAGGGCACTTATGGTATTAATCATGTACATAACATTGTTTAAGGTTTAAATTTTTGCTTTCTATTTTTTAAAGGCAGCAATGGTAACCACTGCACCACCTGTGAGCATTCATTAATGGAATAATAATAATTGCCAAATGATCTTGAAACATGATTTCTTCCTTAAAGTGATTTAAATTGTAGCGAGTATACTGTAAATCCATAAATTCTAGCCTTAAATGGAAATTAAATCAAGACCACTTTTGTTTGAGAGAAAAGAAATGTATTTTGAAATGGTACATGACAAAACCATGTGCTGTACTACACAAATTCTGAAATTCCATCTATGCATATTTGCTCTTGGGTCAAGTGCACAGGAAACCATTGCTTGATGTCATAGAGTCAGGATAAGTAACACCTGGAAGCTCCTGCTCTAGCAGGGCGAAGGTAAAGGAGGTGGAAAGTGAAAAAAGAGACCAGCTGGGAGTAGGCTGTTTTCTGTACTTGATTAATGTACAGTAGGTGTCCTTTTAAAATATTAGATTTCCAGACACCACTATGTTAGGGAGAAAATGCCGTCTCTTTTTATTTGCAAAGAAACTTTTTAATGCATACATGTAGCATGATATATTAAATAAATCCACTATAAATGTTTTTGCTGAAAAAATGTTACTTCTGTGAAATTGGATATTCAACCTTTCATTACTGACTAACCCCAGCAGAGGGCGATCTGTAATCACTTAAAGCACCCGACTGAGGTCGAGTTGATTCTTATCCTAGTGTTTTATGCACTGATACCGTGGATCAGTACAACACCCACAATACTTATCTAAAGGGATAAAACAAACATAGCAGATGGTGTTAGTTGACCTTTTTCTGCTTCTTTGTCAGGAAAATTCAACATTTTAACCTTGAGCTTCACTGGAGGGAAGAAACTGATTTGAAATAGGCTTTCATACAATAGCTTCAGGAAATCTAACTTCATGGTAGCTGTGTTCTGTCTTTGGAAAGTAAAGTATTTGTCGCCACCAATCAGTAGGGAGAAAAAGTATATGTTTACTCTGATCAGGTTGGCAGAGGATAATTAACAATTCTTTTTTAAGATTAACATCTGTGTGCATTTAGCAGTCTAAATGAGCTATAAACCAAAATAGAATAACTAATGTAGGAACTTAAAGTTTGCACTAAACCCTAAACATTCAGGACACATTTATTACTGTATCACTTCAGTCATGTATTTCACTAGCACATTTTTTCCCAATAAGGTAGAGAAATAATGCGGAGGTACGTTTATTGTCTTCCCCAAAAGACAGAAATGGATTTAAACATCTTTTTGCACGTTCTGAATAACAATTTAAGCCCATTAAAATCAACTGATTTCAAATAAGGTTGCTAAATAATGCAGTATTTGCGAAGGTGTAATTTTTGGGTTCTTCTCTGGGAGTCTGCTCTTCAGTAACAGGCGATGAATGATTGCTGACGGGCACTCCTGTCCCATCACAGATATTGCTGCTTTTAATGGAGCTTAACACTCTCTTCAGTGTACTTCCCTGGATACCTAAACATGATTCTGTTACTGATGCATTTTATTGCATTTCTTGTGCAAGTTATCTAAGAGCTGACGTGTTGCACCGACCTGCATCACCGTCTCTGGGCTTCTTGGAGGTTGCAAGACATCAGATTTAATCAACAATTTCTTATTAAGTATAGCACCTCTGGAAATCTGCTATCTCTAATCAGTTCTAAAGTCTCTCATTATACACGGTGTGAGAGATTTTATCCCCTTCTCTAATTCACAAATGAATGCCTGCACTCCAAACTGCCCCTGTGTACTGTCCAACGCCTTTATGTTTATTTCACGAACAGTGGTTCTGTTTTTAATATTTAATGTACATCTCATTAGTGAATGATTGATAATGCCATGGCATTGAACAGCCCTATGGGGCTCAACAGTCAGGAGGTCTACCAGCGACAGGACAACAGGGAAGAAACAGAAACGACTCGTCAATTATTACCGCTCTACAGTGGCTCTACTGTGAAATATTTACTTAATTGGATGAGTATTCTAGGTTAAAAAAACATTGAATCCTTTTAACATTTTGCCCCGAGGTGCAGTAAAGCAGCAGGCCCTAGTGTTAAAAAACACTACCGATTAATTATAGAAAACATCAAACCTTCAAACCTGTTCCATTGCACTTCCTTTGTAGTCCAGTAATCCGTCACTCCAATACAGAGTCACGGAGGAGCCAGAGCCCATCCTGGAAAGCTACTTCCATAATGTATTCAGAAGTTCAATGTGTATTGTGTTCTTCTTGCTTTATTTTTTTCTGTTGTTTGTGTTGAAAAACTGTGGACTAGAGTAATTACTACCAATTAATTTAATTACTGCCAATTAATTACTACCACTTAGGAGTTCAGAAAAAAGGAATGACAACTATAGTTCTACCAGATTTCTGAGTGCCAAAGGCAGAGTATTCCTGTCAAATTCCAATATTATTCCAAAATACCTCTATAATATTAAAATCCTAGATAATCTGTGACTATCAAGAAAGCCGGCTCTTAAACACTTAAGGGTTTTGATCCACACAAGTGATTATTAAGTAATGCTACATTAACATATTAGATGAAATACTGTATAGTTGTCTTGCCAAATTTGTTTAATTAAAACAATGTAATTTTCACTTCTGTAACGCTTAAAACATATGCTGCAAGTGGCTTACTGTATATTTAACAGTTTACACAGAAGGACAAATATTTTTGTTGAAGTAAAGGTATTCATTCCTTTTTAGCATTTGGCTCCTATTTTGTTATATTTGGAATTGAGTGTGTGTATGTGACTCCTCTGAATTGCCTAACTTTGAGCCGCTTGTCTTTTGTCACTGTATATGTGGCCCCAGACAGGGGGTTTGTTGCCAATTGGAGAAGAGGAGGCTCCATCACCATGACCACACTGCAGGTTTGAACGTTCCCAGTAAGTCACTTACTAGAGAGCCCCAGTCCTACATATGACCATCAATTAAGGCTACAGGATGTGGATGTGACCCAAGAATATCTAAGCATATCTTCCAGATTTCTCTCTATCGTTCTGCAAAAGGCTAGAATCTTTAAGGTACACAGTTAATCAGAAAGTAGCCAGGCATTGTATGGGTATTTGAAGTCAAGACTGATCTTGAGAGAATTGAAGGTAACACTATTCCAGTTTGCAGCAGGATGATTTTGGAGATAATAAGGATAGTTAGCAAGACCTGTATTGTTAAATCAATTGTGAAACGTTTGTCTGATGTTAAAGGATGCAAGAAAAAGTTTCTTTTGTAACTTGCAGCTCCACTCCACGTACGGATATTTATTAAATCTGTTGCCCTTTTTTAAAATTAGATATTTAATCTTTTTTACTTCATGTGCATTATGATAAGGAACCCCTTGGTCAGCTTTAAAATGGCTGACAGGTATATAAAGATAACAGCACTAAACAGTTCAAGAACAGCACTGAAGCGTGCCTCTGTTAAATTGAAAGTCTGCTTAAATGAATTAAAGAAATTGCTATAAGCTCATTGCAATGTGTTCTAGCAACAGGCAACAGACTAGTCTTGCAGGGAATTCAAAATAAGGTGGCAGAGAAATAGGCAGCTAATCAAAATGCATCAGTTTTTCATGTACTGTATGCATTTGGAACTGAAAACATAAACTGGTCTAATATTTGAAAGTCATGCAAAAAGATCTTCGGAGTGCAAAAAGTCATACTGCTAGCGCGTATGTGCTGTTTTTTATTAAGAGCAATACAACACTGCTAAGACGTATTCATGGTTATTGACAAATCCTATAATCAATTTCTTATGGCACAGTGATAAGAAATTGATTATAGGATTTGTCAGTAACCATGAATATTCATGTATCCCATCATACTCCAGGTTGCCATGACCCCTACCAGGTGTAAGTACTTTCTGATAACAGATGGATGGATATCCCATCAGATTTGTAAATTTCTACCAGTGATTTGGGTTGTGAAGTGTTGGAGGAGGCAAGCAAATTTTCATTGTCATCTGTTTCCAAAGAAAGTTATGATTACATCTGAGCTTTCATTCAACAATACCGACACCAAGCCTTGGTTAATAAAGCAAAAAGTCTTTAAACGAAGCACAGATGTAGCCCTTTTAAACCTGATTGTTATTACCGAGTGCTATTCAGCATTTGTTCTCTTGTGGTCTAACAGGTTTTGAAACACTGTTATTTATGGAGGCAGGTGTTTCTACTCAAAACGTAAAACATTACTCTGTCACATTTACCTCCTACCCCATGACCTGCTGGTCTGTCTGCTTCAGTCTCTGAGATCTCCTTTTCCTTAGTGACAGTCAACTACGCTGTCCACTCGGTGCTGTTGAGGACTGGCCTCTCGCATGAAGTGATAAATTAGTTTTCTTCCATTGGGATTCATTGTTCTTTTTTTAAATGTAGAAGTAGTATCAGAGCGATACTCAGGTTGGAAACTTGCTTGCAACAGTTATATCCACCCTTCCCAGTATCTGAGTTGGAAAAAGCACAGTCACTACGTTTCATGACTCTGCAGAGCCCTTGACAACTCAGTGAGAAAATTATTACAATTAAGCAGATCAACACAACCCGTTTTTCATTTTTACTTAAGGTTCAGCACCACCCATTAATTGATTGGATCAGTTTGCTTACCACCTTTTCAGCACCACCCATTAATTGATTGGATCAGTTTGCTTACCACCTTTTCAGCACCACCCATTAATTGATTGGATCAGTTTGTTTACCACCTTTTACATTAAGCACAGTTAATGTGCTCGCTTTTGGTCTGTGTAGTTGATCCAGTAAAAATGGATGGATATTGGAGCAGATGATAATACAGTATGATGTGCATACACACAAGATTAAATAAACATAATTAATAATAAGCACTTTAGACACTAAATTGCTTCTCTTCAGTTGGCTTTAATTAGGAAACATTCTTAATTCGTGGTTATCCAGTTCTTTCATAAAGCAAAATGATAAAACCGAATATTAACGAGAACGAACTCCGAAACTGCCGTGCTCACATACAGACGTTCAAGCTGTTGTTTTTTTTTCTTTCTCCTGTCGTGTTAGCAAGCACATCGGTTCCTTTCTGAAAACTAGGGCACCAGTTAGAAGTCTGTCCGAAGCTGCAATGAACTCGAATCCTGGAAGGAATAAAGTCGTTAAGGTAAGTGAGGACTTGCACGCAAACCGGTAGAGATACCGACGTGAAAAACGTCCAGGAAAGAGCTGATGTGAGTCCTGCATCTTTTAAAACACGTGTTTTTCGCAGACCACCGTAATCAACATAGCATCTGTTGAGCAATTTAAATATATACGGAATTATTTATTTTGCATCTGTAAACTGAAGGCTTTACGTTTTTGTAGGCCCAGAATTATGGTGTTTTATCGTGTGCGGTGCAGAAAGATTACCCTAAGCTTTATAAAGCCGTAGATCCACTTATGTAAACAATAGGGATAACCATTGGAAATACGAAAATATAAAAACATTATTATGAAAAGCGTGAGTTGCCGTTCCTAAACATTATACATTTAAAAAGACTACAGATAAGATTAAATAATTCAATATATTACATCGTTTAATCAATAATACTGTACTTGTGCCTTCACATCCTTTGGACAAACATACACGATATGTTAATGACTTATTTTTAATTTTTTTCAATTGCAGGTAGGGACGGGAAAAGACTTTATAACTAATATGGCAATACAGATCAATTTTAACTGGATTATATAGAATGTTTTTACGGGAATTAAAAGGCAATGAGCAAGGCTGGTGTCAAAACTCGTATCTCAGAAACGTTTTGCTCTTTATCCGAATACAGCAGCGTCTCCTTTAAACGAGCTGACACTATTTGCACAGGTGACAACGTTGACACTGCTTGAGAAACAATTTGTTGGCGAGATGCCGCTTTAAAAATTGTCAACGGTGCTGAGCGAGAGATGTCTACTGTTGCGGTTCCAGCGGCGCTCGGAAATGCGTTCAACTCATTGTATCATTTCAGACATATGAATATCTCAGTCATCGCGATATTGGGAGTTGCCGACTTCTGTTGCTTCAAGGTTTTGAAGTTTGAAGTTAGGAGTGTTAGTTTTTTCAGCACACGTAGGTCCTAGTTGGGACCAGAATACTATTTCTACAGCACCAGGCAGACGGCGGTGATGGACAGACTGCTGCTCACCAACATCTGATCGCCAGTCTAGAGCCGTATTTACTCAGAACTCTGTGCTAGTTCTACATAAGAAGCTTATCTAATCCCAGATGTAGCTTTCAGCCTTTCAGCAAAGTCCAAATGTGAGTGGACTGCCGAGATCGAAATCAGAAAGCACGCTCGGGAAAGGAGGGCTGCAAAGAAGCGTTTTGCCAAGTTACAGTTGCAGTGGTATAGGGGTGTCATAAATCAAAAGCGATCGCGGAGTTCGCCTGCGAAAGAAGTTTCACCAGCTACTTCTTCACGGTCCTAGATATTGGCACAGGTGGAGAAAGACTTGCCTTCTTCACTAGATATAAATTGGTTTAATGCTCGTGATCACCGCGCTGCCGAGGACTGATGGCGAAGATCAGAGTGTCTTATGAGTACTCGGAGGCGGAAGATAAAAGCATCAGACTCGGGCTCTTTCTGATTATCTGTGGCATCGTGTCCCTCTTCATTCTGGGGTTCTGCTGGCTGAATCCCACCATTCAGAATATGCAGTGCAAGGCGGCGAACTGCACCGTGATCTCTGTGCAGCAGAACGGGGAAATGTTCGAGTGCACTTTCACGTGCGGGACGGATTGTAAAGGCACCTCGCTGTACCCCTGTCTCCAGATCTTCGTGAATAACTCAGAGTCCAACTCCACCGCTTTGCTGCATTACGACGAACAGCAACTTGTAATGAACCCAAAGGTAAGTCTAGATTGTAGACCCAGTGCCATCGAGGTGTGAACGCTACACATGCCTGCGTGCACAAGCACACACAACACTAAACCTTGTTTTTGTCACTTTGAGCTGTCTTTTATTAATATAATTCTGCCTGTTGCAATATAAAAAAAACATCAGATTGCTCATCTTTCGGACAACGATATTTCTCACGTCACAGATGGAGTGTAGAGCTTGATTACTGTTGCTAGCGGTTTACTAAGGACATACTGTTTCGGCATTATTTTGTTGTTGATGTTTTAGAACAAACAGCAGATGGCTTTGCAGCTCAATGGTGCCTATTTGCAGACAGTAGGGCGAAATAACGTGAGACCAGCTCAAGAATGAGTTGAATTCATTTTCCATTTGCACCAGTGGTATTGTAATGATATATACTGTCAATTGTTTCTCTTATGTAGTGAAGCATTTTCTTTGGGTCGAGTTCAACACACGAGAGGCATATACACTTTTTTCATTGTTTTTGCCTTGACACAGTGCTGAGAGGACTTTTTGGAACTAATGTAGACCTACTAGGTGTGTACAATGTTTGATTAATTCTGTGGCTTAAAACGTCTTGTTCTTGTAGCCACATACTCTTGAAGCAGACAGAGAATACAGCTGTGTGAATTAAGCCAGTGTTTGCTTCAAGAGTTCTATAAAGAAAATGCATTTGCCTGTTATTGTGAATTATGTCAGTATCAACTACATTTTCTCAACGGAATTGTAAAACTGGTGAGAAAAAAATCAGTCAACGCCATCAGGACTGTATAGAGAATATTCATTGAGGTCTAAAACTCCCTTCTGAAATTATTATATACATGCAATCTTGAGGGTGTGTCACACAGACTTAAAAATACTTAAATCATTTAAAATTTCAAAATATAATTGAATTATGCTGTTGTCTTTCTTGCAAAAGAATACGTTTAATTATATTAGTAGAGCAGCTGTAGGGGTGGCAGTAACTATTGCAGTCCAAATGGAAGCAAACCTTTAATGTAAATTATAAATAATAAGCGTGAAACACCACCCGTTGCTTCCTTAAGGTTATAATCATTATCAACTAAGAAAAAAGCCTCAGACTAGTAGTTTTTGACCATATCAATACTCATGTTTCTTTGCCACAAGAAATATTTTTTTTATAGCTGAAGACAAGCATTATTGTGTATGACTTATCTTTAACATGGAAGCCTTTTGAAATATTAAAAGAAGATGTTTTATAATGTAATAGAAATGAACAGGTGTCTGTCTGCTTGTGTATAAAATGAATGATAGAGTATGTACTGTATAAATGGATTAAATGATGTATTACAACACAACTCTTTGGAAGTACAGCGGTATAAAGCCTGGAAATTTAAATTGTGCTGTGAGAACGATAGATTTGGATATTACTGCAATCATAGCATATGATTGAGACTTGTGTACCACACTACACAGGAGTATTGTTTGGCACCAGTGAGAGCTGTTGTGTGGTGTTCTGTTTCATGCTTGGGGAAGAATCACAGACATTTTCCTCTGTCATGTCTGTTGGTTATTGGGGATGGGTTTAGAAATAATACATCTTTCATGACAAAATTAAAGGTGCATAGTAGGAGGCCACCATTCTTCTTTGCCACCACTTAAATATAAGAACCTTCCATACACAGCAAGTTCAGTAGATTTGTTTATGTGTAGTGTAAAAGGACATTGGGTATCCTGAAGACCCTACTAGCCTCATACCTGCCAACACACAGCTGAGTAACATGCAAGTTAGATTTTATTGTTGCTCAGTGGCAGATTAGTATAGGAGCCACTTTCTTTGATAATATGCTAGAACAATGAAATAAATAGTGGACTGTAATTTTCATAATGAAAACAAAGCTGGAATTAAATAATTTGTGGATGGGAATCCTAGATTAACAGAAGCTAGTTTCCAGAAATTGAAATGCATTCAATGTCATAAAAAGGCACTTGAGCTGATGGCCTTTGTTAAGGGTAGTTTTAATTACGGAGTTATTTGAGTTGAGGGTGTGCTTTGAAAAGGTTAACGTGAAGGATCATCATTTTTCCCTTAAAAACTGTTGTATAATCAATTTTTGTGTTTGCTTGCTTAACTGCTGACAGACCTCTAATGTGATTCCCCAGTATGGAGATGCATTGAAAAGCTATTGAAAATGTGCCAAATGCTCATTATGGTTATATCACTTAGAAATTAATTTCTAAAGGAAAACAGGAGTCATTGCCACAGTTGACAGTTATTCACTTCTGATAATTACTTGCGGTAGCAGTTCACTGGCAAGCTCCAGGGCGCGAGGGTTATCAGTTGATCCTGACGTTAAAGCAAGGCGTTGGCTCATCTGAAAGGTCTGACTGTCACAGAGAGCCGCGCGGCTCTGCGCTGCGGAGTTGTGCAGGGAGCACTGATCTATTGCCATTGTCATTTACAGGAGATTAAACTCCAGGACTGGGGTTAGAATTCAGTGTCTGGATACCAGCAGGTCCACTGGAAAGGTCACAGCTCTTTTCTTGAAGCAGTGTTATTTCTGCAGGCTCTTGGAGTTCAGGAGCAGTTGTTTATGCAGTAAGTGGCAAGAAAAAGGAGTAATTTCCATTGATTTTAGCTGTCTCTCAAAAATGCAACAGGAATAATTAAATTATTATTCATGTTTAATACTACAGCATACAAGGCAGAGTTACCCTATTGGGTCATTAAGGGTCAGGCTCTATGAATTGCCTGTACTGCTTAAGGGATTATAAGGATTTCGAACTAAACACAGTTATTTAAAAGGACCAATGTTAGTATGAAAGTTTGCAGTAAAATTATTTTCTGAATGGCTTAAATGTCAGATAAGGACATTAATGCCTTTGGCTGCAATCATCTAATTATTTTTATGGCATTTTTTCATTTGCAATGCAGTGAGTATTGATAACAGAAGGCATCTTTATTTTGAACTTCTTAAGAAAAGAGTGACCTTTTGAAAGGCCAGGTAATCAAAGAACAAGCTTCTGTGAGCCACGTTGCTAGTAGTTTTATTAGGCATCTGTAGTAATGAGTCATATTGGAAATTTAAGCATCACGTGCCCATGCCATGATCTGAAGTGTACTGCAAAACTGTCCCTGGCTTATTATGCTCACATTAAAAGCAAGACAAAGGTAGTGGTCTGAAATCAACATGCATCACAAAAAATTAAAAACTAGAGGAAAAAAAGGCTTGTCAGATCTTTTAGATTGTGTTTGGAGGCACTCTTGCAAATATCAGACACACTTTTTCATGTTTATCCCTTTTCAGAGAGAAGACATGGGCGGATGTACAGTAAGAGTCATAGTAGATGAGTCAAGGGATATTGCTGCCATTGGCCTTGGTGTGAGTCTACACCTGTGTCTGTGTGTATCCTGTGATGACTGGCGTCCCCTCCAGGGTGTATCCTGCCTTCTGCCCCTTGCTTGCCAAGATAGACTCCGGCTCCCTTGAGCCTGTATTGGATAAAGCTGTTGGAAAAGATGTGGATGGATATCAGTTCACCTCATTTCTGGTTGGCATGGTGCCTAGAGCTGCTGCTTTGTAGCTCCATAGTCCTGGCTTCAGTTCTCACCTGTGGGTCCTTTTGTGTAGAGTTTGCATGTTCTCCCTTTGCCTTCTCTAGGAATTGTAGTTTTCTCCCACCTCACAAAGACTTGTTGATAGGTTGACAGACTATACCAAACTGCCTGTTTTGGGGCGAGAGTGGAGTCTCTTAACTCATTAATCCCTGCTTTTTGAGTTGCCCTACTACAGTGCTGATCCTGACATGTTTGGGACTATATAGCCAAACATCAGTTACTGATGCTTTTTTGTTTAAGATTGTTATTAAATTACAGGTTTCCATTCCTTTCACGTCTCTTTCATGATTCCAGCTGTATGTGTTTTTAACAAAATACCTTCCCAATTTGATGTTATGGCATATTTCGTTCACACTTAGAATGCACAGTTTAAATCTCTGTTTCCGACCCACTGCATTACCCATTCATACTGTTATTGCTCTGAAAACCTCATCTCTGCCCAGCATTAGAGAGCAGGTGTGTAGGGGTGGGTTGCTGTGCTGGAGGAGAATGTGACCCATTCAGAACAGCTCCAAATTACGTCAATAAACAGACATTCTGCCGAGCCAGAGATTTAATTAATGCCGGAGTTAATAGCAAGCAGTACAGTATGTCAGCATTACTAAAATATACTACTAAATTGCCTGTAATTGGCTTTTTCTTTTCTGTCTAATTATAAGTTGCAAAGCATTAATACTTTCAAAAGTCTTAGAAATTGCTTTTCTGATTTTGTTTAATTATACTTTAAAACACTGATCATGGTGTTTGGATACAAAATACGCATTGCACAGCAGTTCTATCCAATTCAATTTATGTGGGCAGCAGGCTCTCATACAAATTGAACTGACCAGGCAGGAAAAAAAAAGATTAATATTATTTTCTGTTGAGTTTCTTGGAAAATGCTAATGAATACAATTATATAATTAACTTGTGTCGTCTTGCTACACTTCTTTGAGTAAGCAACAAGTATAACGCTAATACACACAATGTGAAAGGTTTGATAGTCTCTCATAACAGTTAATTTTATGGTTATTATATACTATAAGATTAAGTTATATGGAGGTGGATTGAGAACTACTGTAGCTAATAAACAAGAAACAGCAAGTGATGTCAAGGGGCATGACCTCTTACTGGGCAGATTGAAGACGTTCTCTTTCAGATGTATGATCAAAGATTTAAATTCTGATATAGTCAACAAACATTTTCAATTTATAGATAATACAAGAAGACGGTGAACAGAAAAACACGGAAACAGACACTAAAAAGGAACATTTCGGATGCACCAGAAGAAATGCTTATCATACAAATTTAACTGTGGGTAACTAAAACAGCCTTCCCAGACTGTTGGTTGGGGCCGAAACTCTTGGCTGTTTCACAAAAAGAATGGATAAAACTTTAACATCACCTAAACTCCTAAACAAGCAAGATGGGT